ACGGGAAAACTTTTTTAAACGCTGTAGGTTGTCTCTGTTTTGGGTCAAGGGAACTTTTTTGGCCATCTGGCAATCTTTTATCTACCTTTCCTTATCTCACGGGAGATTTTTTTTGAAACGCTGTAGGTTGTCTCCGTTTTGGGGTCAAGGCAACTTTTTGGCCACCTGGCAATTTTTTTATTTTTTTTTCCACGGCTTCTTTTTGAAACGCTGTAGTTTGTCTCCATTTTTGGATCAAGGCAACTTTTTGGCCATCCAGCAATTTTTATTCTTTTTACGGTCTCCCGTAAACTTTTTGAAACGCTGCAGTTCGTCTCCTTTTTTTTTTAAATCGATCTAAAAATCTGAAGACTGAGGTATTCTTTTTTTGTGTGGATTCGGTAGTAGTAGCAGTTGATGGGCGAATATTTCCTCATGCTGACAAAAAGTTGGAACTGTCCCTTTTTTTTCGGACGGCTCAACGCACACCTTACGATATCGATACGACGCACACACACGGGCACACACGACACAAAAAGATAACGACGAGAGCTACGGCAAAGGCTCGGTCCACAAAGCCCCGGCGTAGGCTGGCACCAATTGTGCGATTGTTGAGGCTTAGTACTTTTTTGTTTCCTTTTTTGATTTTGTATTGGTAGAAGTAGGTCAACTTTTTGTCACTTTTGAACGGAGCATAGCGTCGGTTACAAAGCTCCGCAGTCCATGTAAACATCACACACAGATAGGCTTTAAGGATACAAAATTGCAACCCGTCCCACCCACTGCCCCCCCCCCTTGCCCCGTTTTTTTCCTCGCAAGGTGATATTTTTTGTTTTCCCGAAGGCCACCAGTGAAGGTTGGGATCGTGGTTTTGATGAGATCCCATAGTCAGGCCCAGCGGTAATCAAAGGTGTCCTTCTCCATGTAGTCTGTCCACGTTGAAGAGGGCATGCTGCGGTATGGGTCCAGGAGGATCCTGAAGCATCGGATGATGAGAAGGCCCAAGAAGATGAAGAGCAGGAAGACCAGGACGAAGGCGGCCTTTTGCTCTAAGGTCAGGGAGCTGACTGGAAGAGCGGAGCCCGAAGTCGACATGGTCGTGCTCAAGAGTTCCCCGTTCATTGTTAGAAGCATTTTGGCACCGAATGTCTTCTGTCTCTCAACCTGGGAGAAGAAACAACATGGAAAAAAACAGGTCTTTAGTTTGTGGCAATGGGGTCAGGATCCCTAATGTACAAAAATATCTTCCTGATTGATCGGACTCATTTTGGGGAGGAGGCCAGGGCTCTAGAGGTGGTGCTTACTGAAGGTTGGTGGACCTCATGAGGGTTCCGGGCTGCTCAACTCCCAGAGGTCCAGTGCCAAGTCTTGGTGCCCCAGATTGGTGGCTTCTGAAAGTGTGCTATGAGGATGTGGGGCTCACTGAAGGTTGGTGGACCTCATGAGGGTTCTGGGCTGCTCAACTCCCAGAGGTCCAGTGCCAAGTCTTGGTGCCCCAAATTGGTGGCTTCTGAATGTGCGCTACAAGTATGTGGGGCTCACTGAAGGGTGGTGGACCTCATGAGGATTCTGGGCTGCTTATCTCCTAGAGGTCCTGGGCCAAGTCTTGGTGCCCCAGATTGGTGGCTTCTGGAAGTGCGCTACAAGTATGTGGGGCTCACTGAAGGGTGGTGGACCTCATTAGCGTTCTGGGCTGCTCAACTCCTAGAGGTCCTGGGTAAAATATTGGAACACTACATTGGTGGCTTCTGGGTGTATGTTATGAGGATGTGGGGCTCACTGGGAGGTGGTAGACCTCATGTGGGTCCTAGTCTGCTCTTCTCCTAGAGGCCCTGACCAGGTCTTGGTACCCTAGATTGGTGGCTTCTGAATGGGCGTTATGAGGATGTAAGGCTCACTTGGGTGGTTGACTTCATGAAGGTTTTGGGCTGCTCAGCTCCTACAGGCCCTATAAAAATGCTGGTACCCCAGATTGGTGGCTTTGGATGTGCGCTATAAGGATGTGGGGCTCACTGAAGGGTGGTGGACCTCATGAGGGTCCTGGCTTGCTCAACACCTACAGGTCCTAGGCAAAGTGTTGGTACTCCAGGAGAGCCCTGCTGAATCTGCCTGCGGGATGCCATATAACAATACGTTAAAGGTCAGCCGCAAGTTCGCGACGTTCTCCGCGTGGCATTGCGGTTTATTAACTGATTCTACGTGTCACCGCAGCTGCCATTTTAATTCCTTGTGCTCCTTCTCTAAAGAGCAATATTTGTGTAAGACAGACGGCGAGGAGCTGAGTGGCCGCCGGTGACGTTCCCGCGGTAAATCCCAGTAATATAAACATAACCGGAGACGCGTGGCGTGATGAAATACAGCGACATCTGATCAGCCACCTGCACCCTCCCTGAGGAGTCCCGGTGACAGCTGGCAGTACATAATACCAATATCCTGTCAGGATGGGCACCGGAGGGTCTGCCGACTTCTGCCAAGGAGCAGACCAGTAACTTCCACACACATTACAATCTGATTGTACAATCAGTGTTAGGGGTGAGGGTTAGGATAGTGCTAGGATTGGGGGGTGGAGGTTTAGGTACGTTTTAGATCGGGGGTTAGGGATTAGGTAAGTGTTAGGATAAGGGATTGGGGGTTAGGTAAGTGTTAGGATCAGAGGTTGGGGGTTAGGTTGGGGATTAAGTGTTAGGATCGGGGGTTGGGTAAGTCTTAGGATCCAGGGTTGGGGGTTAGGTAAGTCTTAGGATCGGGGGTTAGGTTGGGGATTAGGTGTTAGGATCGGGGTTTGGGGATTAGTTAAGTGTTAGGATCCGGGGTTAGGGGTTGGGTAAGTCTTAGGATCAGAGGTTGGGGTTAGGTAAGTCTTAGGATCGGGGGTTGGGTAAGTCTTAGGATCGGGGGTTGGGGGTTAGGTAACGTAGAAAGGCATCATGGCACACTCACAAACCAGCATGTAAAACAACTTGTCTCACCACTAAGGACAATGACAGAGGTTAGGTAAGTCTTAGCATAAGAGGTTGGGGGTTAGGTAAGTCTTAGGGTTGGAGGTTAGGTAAGTCTTAGCATCGGGGGTTAGGGGTTAGGTAAGTCTTAGGATCCGGGGTTGGGGGTTAGGTAAGTCTTAGGATCGGGGGTTGGGGGTTAGGTAAGTCTTAGGATCAGGGGTTGGGGGGTAGGTAAGTCTTAGGATCAGAGGTTGGGGGTTAGGTAAGTCTTAGGATCGGGGGTTGGGTGTTAGGTAAGTCTTAGGATCGGGGGTTAGGGGTTGGGTAAGTCTTAGGATCGGGGGTTGGGTGTTAGGTAAGTCTTAGGATCGGGGGTTGGGGTTAGGTAAGCCTTAGGATCGGGGGTTGGGTAAGTCTTAGGATTAGAGGTTGGGGGTTAGGTAAGTCTTAGGATCGGGGGTTGGGGGTTAGGTAAGTCTTAGGATCGGGGGTTAGGTACGTCTTAGGATCGGGGGTTAGGTACGTCTTAGGATCGGGGGTTAGGTACGTCTTAGGATCGGGGGTTAGGTACGTCTTAGGATCGGGGGTCAGGTACGTCTTAGGATCGGGGGTTAGGTACGTCTTAGGATCGGGGGTTGGGGGTTTGGTTGGACTTGGACTCTCTCTCCAGGTCGACGCTCAAAGGGCTCAATACACATCGGCAGGTCTGATATGGAGCTCCTAGCCGCTCGGCCGGGTTGTCGATCCTCCTTGTCATACAGCGACACGGCTGACCCTGCCATTTAATGTACGGTCAGCTGATGTCAATCAACCTGCCAATACCCCGATCGGCCATTGTGTGTGCCATGGAAGAGTCGGGACGCGCCGGATAATCACATTTCTTACCTTTTTAGAAATTTGCAATTTTTTTTTAAGGTGGACCTGTCCCCGGAGAAATCTGTGGAACCGGCTGGTTGGATGGAATCTGGCATCCCCGGCAAGTTCCCTAAGCTGACTACACCGGGAGTATCCTGTTATGTTCATACATTTGGTGATGGCTTAGGGTTAGATGTAACATGGAATGGCGTTTCTACGGGTCACTTGTATACCGCTGGTGGCTACAAGCTGGACGCTACAAGTGCCAGCATATTATGGGTGCAGCACGCTGGGACTTGTGGTCCACCACCAACTAGAAGGGCACCTGGTCAGTCTTTCTTATGAAAGGTTGTTGTGCAAACGGGCATTGGAGGGGGGAGGGGTACCTGGGTGCTGGCATATCGGAGGAAAAGAATTGCCAGCTGATCACGCAGTAGGGTACCACTCACCCCTGGCTCTCCTCCACTTTGGACCAGTAGTAGGGCTCCTCTCTTCCCTGGCTCTCCTCCACCTTGGACCAGTAGTTGGGTACCACTCATCCCTGACTCTCCTCCACCTTGTACCAGTAGTAGGGTACCACTCACCCCTGGCTCTCCTCCACTTTGGACCAGTAGTAGGGCTCCTCTCTTCCCTGGCTCTCCTCCACCTTGGACCAGTAGTTGGGTACCACTCATCCCTGACTCTCCTCCACCTTGTACCAGTAGTAGGGTACCACTCACCCCTGGCTCTCCTCCACCCTGGACCAGTAGTAGAGTACAGCTCATCAAAGTCTTCCCTCCACCCTGGATCAGTAAAAGGGTACCCCTCATCCCTGGCTCTCCTCCACACTGGACCAGTAGTAGGGTACCCCTCATCCCTGGCTCTCCTCCACACTGGACCAGTAGTAGGGTACCCCTCATCCTTGGCTCTCCTCCACACTGGACCAGTAGTAGGGTACCCCTCATCCTTGCCTTTCCTCCACAATGGCCCACA